ACTTATAAAGTTTAAATTAAGTAATAAAGATAGTTTTCTACTTATAGCGCTCTATAATATAGAGTTTATTAAACGTAGTAATAATATTTAGTTTTATATAGATCTTAGTATTATATAATATATCTAGAGTTTTACGTATAAGAGATAGTAGATATTAGTTCTTAATAGTAATATTATTAAGATTTTAGTAGTCTTAATAGATATAAATTTCTTTTTCTAGTTTTACTATAAGTAATAGTAGTACTATATAGCGCATCTAGAATTTCTAGATAAATCTCTTATCTAGGTTATTATTAAGCTATTTTCTAATAACTTATAGTTCTAGTAGAGAGAAAGATTTATTTTTCTAGTATAGTAGCTCTCTTTCTAGTATAAGTTTAATCTTATAGTTCTAGGCTTACTATAGTAGTAATTTATTTACTTTACTAGGTAGAAATTCTTTATATAGATCTACTAACTATAATAGTAGTATCTTAATAAGATTCTTCTTTAGTAGATCTAGTTTCTTTTTTATAAATTTATTAATATTTATATTAGTAATACCTCTTATATATAGTAGAGTTTTACTTTTAGTAAAAAGCTTATATATTTCTCTAGAAAGTTTCTATATTTCTATATAGTTAAGCTCTTTCTAGGTAATCTTTATAGCTCTTATACTAGAGTTTTAGTAGAATTAAAAAAAGATTATAGTAGATACTAGTTAGATATCTTCTAGGTTAGACTACTTATTCTACTACTAGATAGTATAGAGTAGCTATAAAAGTAGAATACTTAATAGTAAGAGTAGTAGCTTCTATAGTAGTTTTTCTCTTTACCTTAATCTAGTAGTAAAATAGATAGAGGCTAGTTTTTCTTATAGTTAGTTTAGAATTATAAAAGTATAGTATTTAGATATAATACTTTTTTCTATATTAGTATTATATATATAATAGTAGAAACGGCTAGAGGTTAGACTTACTTTAATAGTAATTAGTAAACTCTCTTATAGTTAGTTATATTTAGTAACTTCTTTATATATAGGTAGTCTATAGTTAGAATATTTAGATTTACCTAGTATAGAGAGGTTATAGAAGGTTTATAAGAAGTCTAGAACTATAAAGACCTAGAGTAGTAAGAAAAGGCCTATAGAGTAATAGTAGCATTAGTAATACTATAAGTTAAAGGTTAACGTTATTTCTATCTAGTCTATACTTAGATTATAACGCCTTAGCTATAGTAAGCTAAGAATAATAGAAGTTTTCTAGGCTAGAGTAGTAATAAAGAATAGGTAGTATTTATAGTAGTTACTAGTTACTATTAGTAAGATAGTATAGCTAGTAACTTAGTTCTCTATTTTACTATTTACTAGAAGAAGTATTTATAGTACTAGTATTAGTCTTATTTCTAGGTAAAGTTTAGTAATAAGGTTCTTGCTAATAAATATCTATTCTAAGTATCTACTATTAATAAGTCTATTAACTACCTTAGAGTTATAGTACGTAGAGAATAAGATTATTTAAATAAGTAATAATTTACTATCTATAGATCTAAGTTATAGTAGCTCTTATTTAGCTAGAATATAGTAGATCTAATATATATTATTATTCTAGACTAACCTTAAATTCTCTATTAACCTCTAGTTATAGTATTAGCTAGAGGTTAGAAGTTTTCTAGAAAGCTAGAGTTTAACGCGCTTATTAAGAGTATATCTACTAGAGTAGTTAGACTTAAAGTAGAGCTATTAGTCTCTTCTTCTATAAAGCCTTATACTTAGAATAGATTACCTAGTAAGAAGTCTTATAGAGAATAGAAGTAGAAAGGCTAAGATAAATACTATAATTAGAGTATATATAATAGAATTTAAAGAATAGTTTCTTACTCTATTCTAGTTAGTCTAAGCTATCTATACTTAGTATTATTTTATTTTTTCTCTATATAGTTATTCTTATTATATTCTACCTACTTATAGTAGAAATAGAGATCTTACTAGATATATTATTCTTAGATTAGATAGTTATTCTAAGTTAGATTCTAGAATAGATAGTAGGCGTCTAATTATATAGTATTAGAGTCTATTACTATTATATTAGAGAATGCGACGCTATAGAAAGTTAGTAGCTTTTAGATTTATAGAGTAGATTTAGCGCTAGAGTAATAAGCTTATAGTTTATTAATATAGGCTTTTTTTTCTAGATTCTTCTAGCTCTTCTAATATTACTTATACTACTTATTAATATTATCTAGTTCTAGCTTGTCTAAGCTTACTATAACTACGTTAGAGAGCTTCTAGAAAACCTTAATCTTAAGTAAATTAACTATTTATATATTTATCTTTCTAGCTATTATTATAAGTTAGTTATACTTAGCTTTAAAGTTAGACTAGAGTTTATTCTTTATCTAGTAGTTTTTAAAGTTAATTTTTACTTACTATAATAGGTTAACTAAGATATAGATCTAGCTTATACTCTCTAGAATATTCTCTAGGTCTTACTATAGCTAAGAAACTAGATTATTAGAATTATTAGTAATTATCTTAAACTTTATTTATAGTAGGCTATAGGTATTACCTTTTAGGCGTCTTATAATATACTATAGCTAATAGAAGCTATTATTAAAGACGTAATTATCTATCTTAAGAACGTAGTAGATACTAGACTACTATATCTTAAACTATTATTAGCGCTTTAGTATATTTTTCTTATTACTCTTAAACTTTTCTAGGTCTTCTAAAATATAGTATCTACTACTACTATTAGTATTATTATTTATAAAGTTAGTAAGAATAGTTATAATAGTTTTAATTTAGCGCTACTTCTAGTTATTTTTAAGTTCTATCTAATTAAGCTTAGCTTACTACTTAGTACCTTTAGCTTCTACCTAATTTATTTAATATATTAGAGTATTTTTAAGTATAGAAAGTAGAGCTATAAGAGCCTTAGCTTATAGTACTAGGTTTTATTCTAGACCTAGTAATATAATAAGCTTAGTTAGATTAGTATTAATACTAGTAGCTATTATCTACTATATTAGTAGCTAGAATTATATATAGTTAGTAAGAAGCTTTCTCTACTACTACTATTACTAATTACTTACTATAGTTCTAGAATCTAGCTAGCTTTATAGTTTTCTAGAGGCGTAGAGAAGACTAGACTACGTGTAATAGTAACGTAGTTCTTAGTTTCTTTCTAGGTCTCTAGTATAATACTAGAAAAAACTATTATAAGGTAGTAAGATCTTAGATAGAATAGTATAAACTATTATAGAGTAAGTAGTATAGTAATATAATATATTATACTATAAGAAGTAGAAGACTTAGTAGACTATAGAAAATATCTATATAAGTACTAAGATGCTAGCTATAGTTATATAAGTAGTATCTAAACCTAAACCTATATTAGTACTATAATACTTATATTATTAAGTTACTTAATTAGCTTAAAAAAGGTAATAAGCTAATAGCGTATTAGCTAGTACTTATAGAGTCTAAAGTTATCTAGCTTTAAGTAGCTAACGTATAGAAAAAAAAGTATAATTTATATAAAAAAAAGTAGATTTAGAAAGAGAATACTCTTATAATTAAAGCTAGCTTATAGCTAGTTACTTAAAGAAAGGCTATAGATTAGAATAAAAGTAAGAAGTAGCGTAAAGAGGTAGTAGTATATAATAGCTAGCTAGCTTAGTAATACTATAGATACTATAGTAAGCTAGAGTATAATACATAAATATACTAGATAGTTAAAGATAATATAGATAAGTTAGATAGCTTATCTAGATTTATCTTAAGTAGCTTAGAGTTAAAGTAATCTAAATAAGATAGTAGTATTTAGTAGAGGCTTAGTATTTTTAAAGTATTTAGTAGTATAGAGTATTTACTAGTAAAGTATATTATACTATAAGTTTTATAGATTATTATAAAAATATAATAGTACTAACTAGAAGTAAACTAGATTTTTCTTAAAAGTTAGTTAAATATATATAGCTTTTTAATTATATAATATATTTTAGTATAACTTTAGTATAAGATATAATATACTATAAAGAATATATATATAAATTTTTATAGAAAATTATTAAGATTTTACTTAGTTATTTAAGAAAAGCTTATTAATTTTCGTTAATTTTTCTTACTAAGAAATTATAAGAAGTTTACTTATCTAGAGAGTTTAGTTATTAAGTATATTAGCTAGATTAACTATATATATATATAGTTAGAAGAGAAAACTCTAAAGAAATTATTTTTCTAAATTCTATCTCTTATTACGCTATATCTAGAAGAGCTAGCGCTATAGAAGTTTTCTAGAAATCTTTATTACGTTATAGATACTATATACTATAAGTTTTATAGATTATTATAGAAATATAATAGTACTTACTAGAAGTAAACTAGGTTTTTTTTAAAAGTTACCTAAATACGTATAGCTTTTTAATTACGTAATTTATCTTAGTATAACTTTAGTATAAGGTGTAATATACTATAGAGAATATATATATAAATTTTTATTAAAAAATATTAAGGTTTCGCTTAGTTATTTAAGAAAAACTTGTAAATTCTTATTGATTTTCCTTGCCAAGAAATCGTGGGTTGTTCGATGGGGTGACCGGTTCGATGGTGAAGTACGTTAGTTATTTAAGAAATACAGGTTGATTTTCGTTAATTTTCCTTGCCAAGAGAAGGTGGTCGGTTCGGTGGTGTGGTCGGCTCGCTGGTAAAGTACGTTACTAGTTGTCTAGAGATTAGTAGACAATAAAGCAGACTAGCGTCTTACATCTATAGGCTTGCGGCTTCGATTCATGTCGCTACCTCTGCGCAGGAATTGGGTTTGCATCGGTTTCGGAGTGTTCGCGGCGAAGTTTTAATGTTCTTGTCCGGCTTACCTAAAGAGGATTGGAAGCTCAGCTCACAGTCGCATGGAAGCGGCAATCAGCGGCGTTTCTCCAGAGCGGGGAACTGCCAGGCGAGATAAAGCAGGCAGCAATGCACCCTCTAAAATTCCCGACTCCTTTTCGTCCCCATCCCATTCCTGCTATATCTTCATAATTTCCTCTAACATCTCCCCAAGATGTGTGCGAAAACGTACTCCAAAAAAATTTATCAGTGTGGCGACTGGGAGAACGAAGACGTCACGTTTACACCTTGCGATGACCAGACGAAGCCGGGTCACACTGTCACAGAGATCCCTTTGGGTTCAAAGAGAGTCAAGGGGAAATGCGGCAAGCCTAACTGCACAAATCCGTGAGATGGCTAGGTAAGTTCCATCTATCGCTACATTGATTTGCATTCAGTGATTATAGTGCTAATAGAACTAAAGCCTGTATCGAGGACTAGACATTGCTGGATTTGAATTGTGACGCATATTGGTAAAAAGGGCACAGGGAGGGGGAGGAACAGTAATTCTCGTAGTCCGGAATTCAAGACCCGCATTTGCTTGTCTGTGCCGTTTCTGAGTCCAGTGCTTGCAGAACGTCATCCGCATTGGTGTATTCCTTTGTCCAACAACCCCAGATAACCCTCTCTCCAAACAGCCCTTTAACATCAGGGAATTTGCCTTCCCCGAAAAGTCCGTCGACTAGCCGGTCATAGCTTTCCATTTCCTCCGCAGTCTTGAAAGGTCCAGGGCCTCGGTGGGGCCAGTGTCCGGTCAGGATAGTGTAGAGAATAGATCCGACGCTGAATATGTCTGTGGCCGGTGTTGACACCCACTTCGAATTTGGATCAAAGAATCCGGGATCTGGAAGATGCTTGCCGTCTAGACCGAGCTCCTCGCACGTTGAACCACCGAAGTCGCAAAGCCATAGATCTAGGCACTCCGGCGTAGTGGCGTGAACCAAGAAGTTGTCAGGGCGTAGATCCGAGTGTATTACACCCTGGTGGTGAATATACACGATCGATTCGACAACTTGTCGACACCATTTCTTTCGGACGAAATGGGGGATAGTATCGTAGTGCTCGTCGAGATATTGTTGGAGGCTGCCGTGGCTGGCCTCAGCAAGGAGCAACCCTCGTGCGGTGTCTTGCCATCCAAGGTATCTAAATCAACGTCACCAAAATGGATAGTGTTCTGCCGCAAAGATCGGGAAATATACCTCACGATTCTGGGATGTACTCCCAGTTTGTTGAAAATTTGACGCTCGACCGAAAAACTGTTGGCGATTTCATCCGTCAGCCTTTGGAAAGCACGGCTTTCTTTCCAGACTTCTACGGGGTATTTTAAGATGACGCCAGGCTGGACTCGGGAGAAGCGCGACGTCGAGCTTTGAAGTGACTCCAGGACGACCATTGGGTTTGTTTAACAAAAGACTAATGAAAAAGAAGGCGTCGTCGCGGACGTTTCAGGCTCTTTGCTAATGATCCCAGTTCCAGAGTGCCAGAGTCGCTAAACACGCCAAGCCTGTGGTCCGTGTGCCTCTCCGCTCTTCGGAAGCCCTCCTTCGCCGCCGCACCACAACCGCATCACCTACTGCCTCCGTTTGGGCGGTGCGTTCATCCATCGAAAACCTACCCGGCGCACGACTACCTGACCCATAGCCAGGCCCGAAACTGGCCTCATCCGGCCTGCCGATGCGAACGCGTCCTAAGCGTACGACAGGCTAGCCCTGAGATGCGGCAAAGGCGTAGGAAATCTCTTTCTATGAGAACTTGTTAAAGCTAACGCGTCGCAGTTCCCTCGTACGAAACTTGTTCTACAACCCAAGCAACGTTAACCGCTTCAATCTACGCATACGAACATGAACCATCACTCACCACGGCGGAAGGAGAGCAAGGAACAATGGGCATCAAACCTTCGGCGGCGCGATACAGTATGACATTGGGAAGGCCCCGCCGAGCTGGTTTGAATGGACAGGATCGCTCAACTCTCCGCCGTAGATTCCGCTCGCTGCGGTCGCCAGAGTGCGTGCACGGAGCATGACATCATTGGCCTGATAAGCAGGGAGTTCCGCGACGGTAGGCGATATAAGGGTTCGGCGAACGCAGTGGCCACGACATCGGTAGTGTTGTTTGGCCGGACTCGCGCGCGATACGCGGCAGCGGCGGCCCTTCCGTCGTTCACGTCCTGCATCGAGTGGGAAACGATACCGTGGTCTATCCTGCCGGGCGTGCAGCTAGAAGAGAGGATGGGGGACGCCGTCAACACGCTCTGTGCGTACTCGTTCCTGTCAGGACGCGAGGACGAAGACCTGGCGCCTAGGATCTGGATCAGCCAGCGCGGCGATGTGACGTATGCGACGGAGAAAGCTGTTTGCCATATGGCAGACGTCTTCCCGTCCGACGACTACGCGAACCGCGCCGTGTGGAGAGCGTACCTGCAGCATGTGCTGCGACTGCTCGAGAACAAGCGGGGTTCTGATGATGAGAAGAGGTCTCAGTTGTGTCTGTTGGTGGAACGACGTCTGCGGGTTGATGGCAGGATCTGGGAGGCAGTGAGGTGCCTCGACGAATGTTGCCGATGGAGAAGCGGGCTTGACGAGGAGGATTCGGATCAACTGTTGTCGCAGCACGCGCTCGCAATAGCATATAAAGCAGAAGGTTAGGTGCAGAAGCCGGTGGAGCACGTGATCGCAGTGAAAGAGAAGGTTCTGAGTCAATTAACTCGTCGGGAACTTCCTTTATCCCCACTTAATTTCGCGATGCCACCCACATTTATGTTATACGGCTGTCCAGGTCGCAGACTAAAAGATTAGCAGCATACCGCCCCGCCTTTAGACCGCCTGTGTCTTCCTCGCCCTTCTTCCGCTTCCTGGTGCTCATCTGTAGCTTTCAGCAAACTGTGCCGCATATCCCACCAGGCAGATTAAATAAAGGGGAAAGTCACCTATTCTTCTAAGTCGTAGCTCTTGTAGTTTACTAGCATTTTGTTAGCCTTACCTAGGTCTAACGCAAAAGAATAGTTTTTCTAGATAATATAATAATAGTAAAGTATAATAGTCTAGCTTAGTATTACTAGAGTTACTATAAGAGCTAGCTTTATAGTCTCTACTACTATACGTATACTCTAGAATACCTAGCTAGATAAGTTAATTACGAGTAATATAGTATTATAATTATAGAATTAGAAATAGAGTTAGCTAGCTAGAATAAAGAAAATAGTAAGCTAAGTCTAGAGTTATAGAATAAGAGTATTATATATAGAATTATAAGAATAATTAGAATTATATAATATAGATTAGGTAGATTAGAGAAAGCTAGATAGATTAGGTCTAATCTATAAGAGCTAGGCCTTAGTATCTAATCTAGCTAAGATAGTATATATATATAACTAGAAGAGATACGCTTCTTATAGCTTTTTATAGTTATTACTTTATTTATTAAATTACTACTATAACTTATAATTTATAGTATTATTACCTCTACCTCTTTGTTACTAAAGATTCTAGCCTAATATATACCTTTTACCTTCTTTTATAAAAGTAAGCCTTAGTCTTAGTTAAAAGAATAGTATATAATAAAATAACTATCTAACGTTAAAGAGTAGAATAACTATATTAATAGTTAGAACCTAAGCTAGAAAGATCTAGGCTAGAAAGCTAACTATAGAGAAATAAATTATAGAACTCTAATAGGTTATTATAGTACTCTAGAAGATAAGTATTTACTACGTAGAAGAGCTAGCTATAGTAAAATAATAAGCCTAGATAAAAATTACTCTACCTTAATAGTTTAATAGTAAGAGAGAGAACCTTAACATATTTCTAGTAGCTATAGAACTCTACCTATAATATAATACTATAGCGTTTTTATAGAATAAGAATAAGATTCTAGAAGCTATAATAAATATAGAAGAGAAAGCTCTTACTTAGACTAAACTCTATATATTAGACTAGCTAGAAAATAAAGATAATATAAAAAGAATATAATAGTCTATAGATAAAATCTTTAAAAGCTAGACTAGGTTTATAAAACATCTTAGAGAAATATTTAGAGAAGTTAATACGTATAAAGTAGTCTAAGAAAAACTATTCTAGCTATAATAAACTAGATTAGTATTCTAGTATATAGCTACGTTTAGATAGCTAAGTACTTACCTAAACTAGAATAACCTTATACTAGTAGAACTCTTCTATAAAGAACTAAAAGAGTTAGTTAAAGATAATATCGCACACGCTAAATAACTAGAGAATCTAAGCAATACTATAGAAATAGTAGTAAAGATTAATAACTAGTAGTATAAAAGAAACCTAGAACGTTAATAGAGTAGAAACTACTCTACGCTACTAATAGTTAGAACTAGAAAACTATAGACTATATTCTAAGAAGACCTAATAGATCTAGACTAGGTTAAGACTCTATAGAAGAGAAAGTAAACTCTATAAATAAAGAAAAAGGTATAATACTTTAAGAAAGAACTATACCTAGTCTATAGTAAAAAAGAATACTTTACGTAAAAATACTCTAAGAAAAAAAGACTAGTTAAGATAATCTAGATAGACTATAATAGTCTTATATAGATAGTATACTATAATAATAGCTATATAATATACTAGAGAGATAAGGTTAACTTAGAGTAGTATCTAACTAGAGTCTAGGTAATTATACTAGAATACTCTATATATACTAAATATCTTACTCTAGATACTATCTAATAATATATTAACGTATAATAGTACTAGATATACGTAGAATTCTATAACGTATAGAACTATTAGTATATATATTAGAATATTCTATTTACTAATAAGAAATTCTAGAAGATACTAGACGCTCTTAAAAAAGTAGCCTAATTAGTAGAATACCTTATAGATAAAGAAGTATACACGTATATTTAGAAGATATACTAAGGCTTTTTTATAAACTACTCTAGAGTCTAAAAGGCTAAGTAATAGTAACTAAGGTATATAAAAAGAGATAAGTATTAAGACCTCTTCTATAAGATATACCTAACTAAACTATCTTAAGAAAAGAAATTACCTAGACTATTTCTATATAACTAGAAAATTAAGATATATCTATAGTAAAAGCTATATTAGCTATATAAAGACGACTATCTAGGTTATAACTATATCTACTAAGTCTACCTATTAGTAGTTTATAGAGAAAAGAGTAAAGTAGTAGTTAAGATAGCTATTAGCACGTAGAGACTAGACGAAGAGAAAATCTAAGTAGCTACGTACATAAACCTACGCTCTAAGAAGAACGCTAGCTAAATAGTAACGTCTAAACTAGTTAAATAAGTCTATAGTAAGAAATACTACGCTAAACTATAGAACTAGTATACTATTAGATGCTAATATTACTAAGAATAGTACTAAACTATAGAATAGATAGCCTAACACTCTAATTACTATATACTTAATTACTAGTAACGTACTTTACTATTAAACCAGTTACCCTATCGAACAACCCACGATTTCTTGGCAACGAAAATTAACGAAAATTAACTCGTTTTTCTTAAATAACTAAGCGAAACCTTAATAATTTTCTATAAAAATTTATATATATATTCTTTATAGTATATTATACCTTATCTTAAAGTTGCACTAAGATATATTACGTAATTATAAAGCTATATGTATTTAACTAACTTTTAGAAAAAATCTAGTTTTCTTCTAGTAAGTACTATTATATCTCTATAATAATCTATAAATCTTATAGAATATAATATTTATAATATAATAAAGGTTTCTAGAAAACTTTTATAGAGCTAGCTCTTCTAGGTATAGCGTAATAAGAGATAGAAGTTTAAAAAATTTCTTTTTTAAGTTTTCTTCTTCTAACTATATATATATATAGTTAATCTAGCTCTATAAACTTATTATTTTATATATTATAGTTGGTTTTAACTATATAGAGCTTATTAACTAATAATATAGTAGCTTTAAGTAGTTATTTAAAAGTAAAGTCTTTTTAGTAGTATAGTATAGAAAGATAGAAAGATACTAAAACTATTTTAAAATTATTACTTCTAAATATATAGAAGGCTTATAGTATATATAATCTTATAATATATAACTTTATATAGCTAGATTATTAATATATATATATAGCTAGAGAAGAAAACTCTAGAAAGATTATTTTAAACTTCTATCTCTTATTACGCTATACTTAGAAGAGCTAGCTCTATAGAAGTTTTTTAGAAACCTTTATTACGTTATAAATACTATATACTATAAGCTTTATACATTATTATAGAAATATAATAGTACTAACTAGAAGTAAATAAGATTTTTCTTAAAAGTTAGTTAAATACGTATAGCTTTATAATTACGTAATATATCTTAGTATAACTTTAATATAAGGTGTAATATACTGCTATGAATATATATATAAAGTTTTATAGAAAATTATTAAGGTTTCGCTTAGTTATTTAAGAAAAACGAGTTAATTTTCGTTAATTTTCGTTGCCAAGAAATCGTGGGTTGTTCGATAGGGTAACTAGTTTAATAGTAAAGTACGTTAGTGCTTTCTAGAATAGAAATACCTATACTATAGTAAAAAGGCTAAAGATAAATATATAAGGCTCTATTAGACTATATACTTACTAGAAAAATACCTAGTATATATAGTAGAAAAGAAATAAGAATTAGTAGTAACTACTCTCTTAAAGATAAAAAACTAGTAGATCTCTAAGATAGAGGTCTAGCCTAGAAAGGCTTTATTTAGACTATAGATAAAGTTATTACTCTAAAACCTAGAATACTACGCGTAAAAGCTATACTAGAGAATAAAAGGTTTATAGCCTATATAGATAGTAGAGTAGCTAGAATATATATTTTAGCTAGCTTAGTAAAACTATAAAATATACTATTTTAAGAGAAATAATAGCTATACTAAGTATAACTTATAGATAACTAGCTATCTATCTTTAGTTAAGAATAGATTTACTTAGAGACTAAGGTATAGGTACTAGATATCTAGAGAATATAAGAATAATAATTCTATTATATTATAGAACTAGAAAATATAGACGTACTTCTAGAACTAGATTAGCTATAAAGATATAACTCTAATATTAGTTAGATTAGGCTAGAACTCTAGAAAAAGTCTAAAGTAGTATAGAAGGCTAGAGTAAGATACTACTTAAAAGCTTACTAAAAGCTAGAGATAAAGATTAGAAGAATATTCTCTATAAGTTTAACAAAGTAAGCGAAGAAATAACCTTAAGACGTTAGCGTTATATAGATATAAAAGTTATAACCTAATATAAAGTAACTACTCTAGAAGGTTAAAAAAGACTATAGAGAGTTCGCGTTATTATTTAATAGATAGAATAATAGCGTTCTATCTAAACATAAACTATAAGACTATAAGATACCTATAAAAGATAAAGCTACGCTAAAACTAGAGCTAATCTACCTACTTAGCTATAAGTAAAGAGAGAAACTCTAAAAATATCTAGAGAAACTTCTATAAAAAAAATATATTTAAGAAAGCTATAGTCTAATAGTATTACTAGTACTATTTATACTAAAGAAAAATAGATAGCTAAGACTATATATTAACTATTAATAGCTTAACTAAGTAACCTAAAAGAATTACTATCTACTACCTATAATCTTAGAACTAATAGACTAGCTTATAGAAGTATAATAGTTTATAAAGTTTAATATCTAAGAAGAATACTACTAAATAAGAATTAAAAAAGGCTATAAATAGAAAACTACTTTTAGAATAAGAGAAGGTCTATATAAATACCTAGTTATACTATTTAGACTTACTAATACGCTAGTAACGTTCTAAAGTATAGTTAATATAGCTCTATATAAATATATAGAAAGGTTTACTACAGCCTATCTAGATAACGTACTTATATACTTAAAAGAAGAACTAGAAGAATATAAGAACTACGTATAAAGAATACTATAAAAGTTTAAAAAGTATAGACTTTTAATAGCCTCTAATAAAAGCGAGTTCTATTATATAGAAA